AGAGGCGGGGGGGGGGCTGCTCTGTCGCCCTGGATGGAGCAGCCTGGACTGTTACTAGCACCTAGTACTGTGGGACCTCTAGGGGCTGCTATAAATCCTCCACCCCCTGATCCTCGGCTGGCCATGCTCCACTGTGCCCTCCCTGCGCGGAGCCAATAGGGGCTAGCCTGCAAAGGGAGGCTTTGGGAGCTGGACTGCTTGGGTGGAACAGAACGCGGCGCTTGCCTTGCATGTGCAGTTGCTCTGTTCTGGAGGGGCCGTGGTGAAGGGCAGAGCGGGGCTGTCTGGAATGAAGGGAGCACCCCCAGCAAAGATGGGCGGGTTAGGGAGGCTGCTCTGCCAGGCTTGCTCAGAGAGGGGAGGTGGTTCTGGCATCACCTGTGTGTCGGGGTGAGGAGGCTCCCATCCCAGGGGCTAGAAGGAAAGTTAGACCACACGCTGCCGCAGCCTCAGGTGAACAGTGCCCCAATGTCTCCGCCCCCCCTCCCCACAAGTCCACTAGCTCCTGCTGCTCCCTGGGAGCAAGAGCTGGCACTGATGGGCTGTGTGCTGGAGGGAGGGGTGAGGTCCAGCCTCTGGGACACTTGATGGAGTCCAGGAATGGTTGGCAGTTCTGAGCTGGTATTTGGATGGTGGTTGCAGCAGGGTGGGGTGGCTTGTTCGGAGGGAGGATTTTGCAGCTAAGGGAAGGGTGGGAGCGTTGGGGCCATTTCCCTGCTGAGGATCCTTGTCTTCAGCATCTGAGGGCCAGGCCCTTTCTGGGGCTAAAGGGCAGCGCGTTAAATGGACGGAATGGAGAGGAGGGGCCAGCGGCTTTGACACGTTCAGCTTGGAATACAGCCAAGAGCCAAGTTTGCTTAAGGGGACAGAGCTGCAGTGTTCACGGGAGAGAAAAGCTTCCAGGTGCCCCAGCAGCAACCAGCCCAATGTCAGCCACTGAGACACCCCCCTCCCCTCCCCATGCTTCCCTTGCTCCATCCTGGACTGTGCCCAGAGGGCTTGGAGCAGGATCTAGATTTTAGTTGCTACCCACATGCCCATTTTTGGTGAGTAAGTGTCCGTATGGGCCATGTGTGCAGCGAATGAACCTGCACTGCAGCCCTCCTCCCCCGCTGGAGGTGAGGCTGATGGCTCCTGAAAGACTGTAATTGATGGGAAGGTGGTACACGGCCTTCTTTATATTCCAGAGAGATGAGATGGTTTGTTTGCAACTCTACCACCTAGGGGCCTGTGGCACAGCCACCAAATGCCCGCCCAGTGACTGCAGTCTGGGGCAGGAGACTTCCAAGGCAGCTGGAAAAATACAGACAGTGTAACACAGCCGGGCCTTTGCAGAGCACGACCAGGGACAAGTTCCAATTTCAGACATTCATAGAGTCCAAGGCCAGACTGACCTTCTCTATCAACAGGCCAGAGACCTGCCCTCAAATAACACACAGAGCAAAGGTTTTAGAAAAAGAGCCCACCTTGACTTACAAATTGCCTGGGATAGAGCATCCACCACGACCCTTGGTAAATTTTGCTAATGGTAATTACTCGCCTCGTTAAAAATGTACCCCTTATTTCTAGTCTAGCTTCAACTTCCAGCCATTGGATCGTGCTATACCGTTTGCCACTAGATTGAAGAGCCCATTATTAAATATTTGTTCCCCGTGTAGTTACTTGTGGATTGTAATCAAATCACCGCTTAAGCTTCTCTTTGTTAAGCTAAATAGACTGAGCTCTTTGAGTCTGTCACTACAAGGCATGTGTTCTAATCCTTTAATCATTCTTGTGGATCTTCTCTGAACCCTCTCCAACTTATCAACAGCCTTCTTGAATTGTGGGCACCAGAACTGGATACAGGATTCCAGCTGTGGTTACACCAGTGCCAAATACAGAGGTAAAATATCCTCTCGACTTCTCCTTGAGATTCCTGTTTATGCATCCCAGGATCGCATTAGTCCTTTTGGCCACACTGGCAGCTGACGTTCAGTTAATTATCCACCACAAATCCCAAATCATTTTCAGAGTCACGGCTTCCCAGGCTAGAGTCTCCCATCCTGTAAGTGTGGCCTGCATTCTTTGTTCCCAGATGTTTACATTTAGCCATATTAAAACATATTGTTTGCTTGCGCCCAGTTTACGCTGACTGAGTGACTGGTGGTCTCATCATTTACTGTGATTCCAGTTCTTGTGTTAAGGAGACTTTATCAGTGATGATTTTCTGTTCTCTTCCAGGTCATTGTTAAGAATATTAAATAACGCAGGGCCAAGAACCAATCCCTGCAGGACCTCACTGGGGAAACACCCACTCAATTAATAGATTCATAGATTCTAGGACTGGAAGGGACCTCGAGAGGTCATTGAGTCCAGTCCCCTGCCTGCATGGCAGGACCAAATACTGTCTAGACCATCCCTGATAGACATTTATCTAACCTACTCTTAAATATCTCCCGGAGATGGAGATTCCACAACCTTCCTAGGCAATTTATTCCAGTGTTTAACCACCCTGACAGTTAGGAACTTTTTCCTAATGTCCAACCTAGACCTCCCTTGCTGCAGTTTAAACCCATTGCTTCTTGTTCTATCCTTAGAGGCTAAGGTGAACAAGTTTTCTCCCTCCTCCTTATGACACCCTTTTAGATACCTGAAAACTGCTATCATGTCCCCTCTCAGTCTTCTCTTTTCCAAACTAAACAAACCCAATTCTTTCAGCCTTCCTTCATAGGTCATGTTCTCCCAGACCTTTAATCATTCTTGTTGCTCTTCTCTGGACCCTTTCCAATTTCTCCACATCTTCCTTGAAATGTGGTGCCCAGAAGTGGACACAATACTCCAGCTGAGGCCTAACCAGAGCAAAGTAGAGCGGAAGAATGACTTCTTGTGTCTTGCTCACAACACACCTGTTAATACATACCAGAATCATGTTTGCTTTTTTTGCAACTGCATCACACTGTTGACTCATATTTAGCTTGTGGTCCACTATAACCCCTAGATCCCTTCTGCCGTACTCCTTCCTAGACAGTCTCTTCCCATTCTGTATGTGTGAAAC